TGTTATTGTTCATGTTAGCCAGAGAAAAAAAAACATGCAATTTTGTAATTATTGTTTTACGGTCTGGTTGAGATGATTTCTGTAGGCTTTTTATCGCATGTACATACTTTATGTATGTATGTATGTGGTGTCTATAGACAATAGTTTGGCGAAGAATTCTAACTTGAATTTGCAAAGAGAACGAAATAGAGAGAGATAGAGGGAGAGCTCTATACCTAGTGAGGATATTTTTGATGTTTGAACTTGTTCGCTTCCACAGATCATATGATTTTTGGTAATATTCTTGCATTTTAAGGTGTCAGTGAACTACAAAGCAGATACTTTCAGCACAGTTGCGTGTTTGTTTAGGCTCAAAAAAAAAAAAAATAAAAATAAAAATAAAAATAAAAAAAATAAATAAATTGAAAAAAAAAAAAAAAAAATCACACAGCGCAAAAGCGACACGTACGTAATGGAATGGTATGGATTGTTGGTGGTACGAGAGATGACGCTGACGCTCGAGAGCTCGCTGGGTTATTGACTTTCCTTTCCTTCACTTTCCCTTCCCGTACCTTCCCTTCCCAACCCATTCTGCTCGCTAGCCACGCCGATCGTCATTGCCTCCATGCTTTGTTTGTGTTTATGTTGATGTGTCTTGTTTGCGACTCTTCACTTTTGGTTAATTTTCTTTGGAATCATCAGCGTGTGTAAAAATTTATTATATGAATCAATTTTCTTTGACGCTGGAAGTGAATTGTGAGAGCTTTTCGCTGAACCAAAATATACCCTATGCGAAAATTACTTTGATTATGTGGGATTTTTGAATGACCAGGTGTCCAATAGGTTATTGACAATGTAAGGGTACGTAAGGGTAATACGTGTATGAAATAACTAAATTTTAAATTTGATGAAAGAATATTTAATTGTCCAGGCTCTATAAAACGATGCTTGAAACATTTTCTCCTTTATAGGAGAAAATATCGAATATATAGTACTACGGTCTTGCTAACCAAACTTTAAAATAAAGTAAATATTTTATAGAAAGAGTAACTCTTCTTCATATTTATCTCTCTTTCCCTAGAAGCATTACTCATTCTACAAATTGAAACGCAAGTGGTCGAACTCTATAAGATTGATTCACCTTGACATGTTGAAAGGTTGAAAAATAAACATATGGTTTACCAGAGAAAAAGAGGGCGACTTATATAGAGAATGAGAGTTATAGAGATAGATAGAGAGGGAGATTGGATTGGAGATTAGGATTGGTAATTAATTTGATTATTGTAATTTGTCTGGATTTTACGAGAGATTAATAGCAACTTACATACATATATGACCCATAATAAATGTATAATTTGTTGTTTTTCATCTTTTTGTGTGTGATGGAAACACATTTTTTGCTGTCTGCATCATACGCATCATATTGCTTTGTGTTATGGTGAGGTCAATGGCCGTAGGAGCAACCATTGCCGGAAATATCAATTTAAATATTTGTGCTAACAACAAACCTATAATGCGATTCGAACTAAAAACACAAATTTTGTCAGTTTAATATAATGGTGACGGAGGTACATGCCTGGAATTTCGCTTAGTTCTAAGCCATGGAAAACTTGAAGGCCGGCGAAGAGCAATGTAGAAGGTATTCTGGACATCGTGAGAAGTATGCACGAGAGTCTTTCAATAAAGACTGGGAGAAGTGGCAAACGCGCAACCTTAATGTAGCATATCACTTGGCAGACAAGCTGGACAAGCCAATTGATGAGATATCCGATCTGATGTACAATATTACGGTACAGAACTACAGTCAGATTTTGAATCCAATAAGCGGTTTTACGAACAAATTTGAAGTGCCTTTCGCCAGCGCTGATGCGTGTAATAAACTCCTGAATATCTTTGACTTTGAGGGCAATCTTCGTCATCCATCGGATCCCAAGAGTCTTTTTCAGCTCCTACAATTGATGCAGCATATATCGCGGTGGGGCTCCAATTGGGAGAAGAAACAGTTACAAATGGAAAAAATGCAGAACGGAACCAAGTCGATATTACATGAACCAAAAATGCCTCTGAGTTGTACGAAAAAGAACAGCAAAAGCGAGATCATCATAAGCAACAACAATAGGTTCAGCCTCACCAGCAACTATTACTCTAACTATGACAACATAAGCACTAAGAAACTTCCCAGAAAGAGGAGCCGTATTAGCGTTTTCAAAAGCGTCGATAAGCACAGTAACCTCAAAGCACATCGTAGCTTAGTTTTGCATTCAAAAAGTATGTCGTGTGTTAAGAAGGCTTGCAAGTCAAGGAAATCGATTACTAGCATTTATTCATCGAAACCGAAAAAGGGTGCAAGATACTCTCTTTCGCCTATGCAAGAACTATTATTGATGGATGTCAACGGGCGGCGACGTGGACTTGGAATCATAGATCTCAGTGTTCTAAAGTTAAAACAAAAGTATTTTTTGCGTTTATTGCTAGAAAGAAACATGAAAGATCCTGATAAACTTCTCGATGCCCTGATTGAAGCCGACTTAGGAGACCCTCTAAAGGAAAGTAAAGCTGAAAACAGTGCTGCAACCGAAATATCCACCTTCTACTCAGCTGTAGTGTCAAAGGCCGGACCGGCAAAATTTGCAAACGCTCACTGGCAGGTGCCAAAACTGTATCACTTTAAAAAGGAGCAAATGCTTTTCAAAGATCGTGTGCTCTTGCTATACCATGAGCCATGGGAATTAGCCGAAACGATGAGTGGCATTCACTTGAATAAATATCGCGATCTGCTGCGGATCCATGAGATAAAGCACAGGGCACAACACAACACTTAAATTGAATCCAGAGTAAAGAGAGTATATAGAATCGATTACTGCCAACGGCAGTAGTAGGCGTGTAAGAGAAGAGTCAATGTATTTGCTGCCGTTGAAATAGATTTTAGTATCAAAATAAAATTCTTCAAGTACATACGCTTTTAAATTTTTAATTTCAATGCCGATATACTGTTCCCCTTCCTGCGGTCAGCCAGTCAGTCAAATACTGCGTTTGCTGAACTGTGAGAGGGAGACAGAGCCTGCCAAGAAATGCAAACGGCTGAGTCCAGTTTGGAACTCGGAGGAGCGGCGATGGTGTCTACACAATGGGAGTATGCTAAGAAAGCTGGCCGGCATAGTGCGTAAGCCGTTGCATCAGGTGTGCAGCTTTATGTTTGAGCTAACAATGAAAAAATTTGGCGAGATAACTAATCCGAAATGCTCGCGCTGGACTTACTGCCGGGTGCCGCTCGTACGGCCGGATACTTGTGCGCTCTACGATGGCATTTACGATCGTCAGGGCAATCTTCGACCAGTTTTCCATCCGTATATTCTTCATTTAGTGGTTTCGATATTGCGTCACTATTTGAATTTACCTTGCGCGATGGAAAAGCCACCAAGTAAAAGGCCAGAGTATGAAATGTTTGCCAGCAGGAAGGGGACAACGTGCAAGGACTTTTTTAAACCGCGCAGGAAGCGTGGAAAGAGATTCGGGAAGGGCGGAAGAGGCGGTAGAGGTGGCTCTGGTAGTGGTGGTGGTGGTGGCGGCGGTGGTGGTGGTGCCGGTGGTGGTGGCGGTGGTGATGATGATGACGATGATGATGGTTTTGATGATGATGCTCTGGCAGACTTAAACGACTTTTTGAATAATTCGACGTTTGGCGATGAGTTTGGAGACGGCAGATATGGTGACGACAGAGATGGTCTAGGTAGAGGCGGTAAAGGTGGTAAAGGTGGTAAGGATGGTAAGGGACACGGTGGAGATAGCGATAGTGATGACGATGATGATGATGGTGGTGCTGGTGGTAGCGATGGCGCTAAAATGAAGAAAAACATCGCTGATATTTCTGACTTGTACTCGAGTATTGTGGAGACTAAACGCATAGTTAAGAAGAAGCCAAAGCCACCTAAGAGAAAACCTTTCAGAGGAGCCGGACGAAAATACATGGGAGTGATCTTGCCAGTGCTAATGCACGAGCCATTTGATGATACGAAACCGTGGACCTGGATTCGTCGCCATCCCATACAAGAACGGGTGCTTGAAGGAACTACATTGGGACGTGCCAAGATACATAAGTATAAGCGTGAAACTCTCGAGGTACAATACATAAAAGCGAGACAAAAGAATTCAGTCCGAAGCTTGTATGGTGTTAAGGATCATCCATCGATCATTTCTTATGACTTGTTTGGCAAGGGCGAAAGGCCAAAGAAAGCCCCGCCATTGGTTAAGCCCTTCAACTATAAAAAACTTTTGGATAGGCCTGACGTTGCCAATATGTCACGCCGCAATAAGAGTCAAACGAAAGCAGCACCAAAAGCCAAATAATAGAAAGAGGACGAGCTCTCCAAATATGCACGGATATTGACGTAGGCAAATTTTTATCAATAATTATAGTGTGAAGCATATAGTGAATGTAATTTTATTGAAACGACGCACTGATCCGTATTATGCTCCCAAAGGATTAACCCACTATAGTACAACTATCCTGACTAATCAAAAATTTGATTTTAGTGCAATCAAGGCTTTAGAATATCATGACAATTGTTCAAATAAAACTTAAAAACCTTATTTAAAGATTGTATTTTTTTTGGCATAGTGATTGGGGCTTATAGCTAATGGATAGCCAAAAACTATACTTTGAGGAATTGAAAATTATAGAAAGCATCGTTAGTTTTAGCTCTAGTTTTATAGCGAAAATCCGCAATTAAATCATAAATCACTCCGTAAGTCGGAGACTTTTTTCCTGTTTTCGTATAATTTCCGCCAAATTCGATTTCTATGGACGGTATATTTGAGCCATTTCTAAAGAAGACGCCGCTAATTCTTCTAATTAGAAAAGCCTTATCGATTTTGGTTAAATTGCGTGCCGATTCGAATGCCAAAGTTAAGCGGCAAATTTTATGTACGAGAGATACGAGATATTTAAGAAATATTCTATGCTATAGGCAGTAGGCGTGGAAAGTAAGATGACATCTACCCAATGCTCGAATTCGGGCTTAGCTTCAGTAGTAAAATTAAATTTTAAAGGTACAGACGAGTTTAAATTCAATTTCGATGCCGATATTCTGCTCCCCTTTCTGCGGGCAGCCAGTCAGCGAATTGCTCCGTTTGCTGAACTGTGAAAGGGAGTCGGACACTGCTAAGAAATGTAAGCGGCTCAGTCCACTTTGGAACTCGGAGGAGCGGCGATGGAGTCAACGAAATGGGAGCGTATTAAAAACACTGGCCAGTATAGTTAATAAGCCGCTGCAACAAGTGAGCGGCTTTATGTTTGAGTTAACTATGAAAAAATTTGGCGAGATAATTAATCCGAAATGCTCTCGCTGGACCCATTGCCGGGTGCCGTTCGTCCGGCCATATACATGTTTGCTCTACGATGGCATTTACGATCGCCGGGGCAATCTTCGGCCAACCTTTCATCCGTATATTCAACAGTTAGTGGTTTCGATATTGGATCATTTTTTGAACTTGCCTTGCGAGGTAGATAAGCCACCCAGTAAAAGACCAGAGTATGAAATGTTCAGCAGCAGAAAGGGTACAACGTGTAAGGACTTTTTGAAAAGCGGAAGGAACGGCAATGCAGATCTGGCGAATTTGTTGGAAAATCAGACGTTTAGTTTTGGTGATGATTCGCGTAATAACAATGTAAATGGTACATCGGGTAAAGATGGTTTTAATGATACAGATGCAGATACAGACAGAGATGGAAATAATAGTAATGAAAATAATGGATATGATGAGGAAAATGATAAGAATAAGAATAAGAATAAAACTACAAATGGCAATGACAATGGAAATAGAAGAGGAAGTCGAGATGGAAGTGATGATGGAAGTGACGATGGAAGTGGACATGGAAATGGAAAACGAAATAAGAATAGAAAGAAGAACGCAGGTGATGATGACAATGGCGGTGTAGGTAAAAACGCTAAAAACAAAGGCGGTAAAGCCAAAAATCGCGAGAATAAGAAAAGCATCGCTGAAATTTCAAATTTGTACTCAAATGTTGTGGAAAACAATCAGCCGTTGATAAAGAAAAAGCCTCCACCAAAGAAGAAGCCTTTCAGAGGAGCCGGTCGGAAATACTTAGGCGTGATGCTACCAGTGTTAATGCATGAACCATTTGATGATTCAAAACCGTGGACTTGGATCCGACGACATCCCATACAAGAACGGGTGCTTGAAGGAATTCGAGTTGGACGTGCCAACATACATAAGTATAAGCGTGCATCTCTTGAGGCACAGCTGCTACTGGCTAGAAAAGGGCAATCGGTGGGAAGTATATACGGGGTTAAAGATCACCCATCGATCATTTCTCTTGATATGTTTGGCAAGGCTGAAGTTCAAAAGAAAGGCACTCCATTGCTTCAGCCATTTAACTATAAAAGACTTTTTGAAAAGCCTGAAGAATCACCCACTGTAGCTTCCAAACCCACCTCAGCAAAAAAACCAGTCCGTGGTAAATAACATAATACTTATGTAAAAATCTCACCAAATAATATTTATATAACAAATAATTCAACTTTTGTTCTCTTTGAAATTTCTTATAACCGAAAGAGTGGAGGGTTTCACAGATCTTTTATAATGTATATATTCAGTGTGTTTTCCAAAGTTATTTAAGATCTTTATAGGGGAAAAGAATATTTTTCACAGCTTTAGAATAGGCTAAAACGATGGTTCCATAAATTATCATACTTAAACAAAATTTATTCTCAAATGTGTTTCCAAAAACAAGAACAAACCCTGAAATTTTATTGCTATACTCATTCATTTATTTTACTTAAATAGAATGTTTAATGTTTAAAAGATTACTGAATATTTTGTACTTAGATCAAATGAACTTTTATAGCTTTGAATAGAAACATATAATTTATGAAACGAATAGCAGAAATTCTAGACAAGAGCTCTTTACGCTGTTTGAGCGACTCGACGTTCGAGATGTGGCATAATTATTGCGCATTTAGTAACATATGTGATTAGGCTAATGTGTGTGAGACTTCCTTTTTATATTTGCTCGAAACTTGAGCAATATTCATGGGGCTACTTGGGCTCTTTGCAGTCAAGCTCCTCAGTTGGTTAGTTTTATGAAAAATTTATGCGCACTAAATTTATGTGCATACACAGAATTATATTTATTACTCATGTATTTATACAAATTTTAATTTTGTATACTGCCAACTATGTTTTTAGACACCCTGTGCCCGCAGCACCCTGTATACATATTCAGCTCAAAGCTTGAACAATTTCTTTTGGAATTTTTGCTAAGCCCAGTTTTGAATTTGGCAGCAAAAACTGAGTGGAATGCCCACTGTTCGAGCCATCTATCGCTCAACTGATTCACACCACAAACAGCTTGAGAGCTCCGGCGGCAAAGACTTCGTATTTGTTTAATGCTCATTTGTTCGGGCCGCGACATTTGCCAAAAAAAAAAAAAAAAGACAAAATATACGAAAAGAGACGAAAAAGCGCGACGATGTTTGCCCGTTCGTCTCGTATATGTACGCTCTTTACATATTTCTTTTCGCAGAGTCTGTTTGCATGTTAGGCCGAATCCACTTAAATCGATAAAAACTATCAAATCTGTTTTGGGGCGTTTATGCCGTTGACTCCCGATGCCGTTGCTGCTGTCGCTGCTGTTGGGCTGCCCTGTCGTATGAGTGACGACTCATACGACATGTGCGCCCCGATGATGCGCCACCATGTTTGCCACGCCACGCCACGCCATGCCATGCCCTGCCCTGGCTTGTGTCAGCTTTCGACTTGGTCTTGGTCTTGGTCTCCACTCATTTTTCGGCCATGTTGCGTATGCTGTCAAATCTCTTCCGCTCCAGCCTTTCGAATGCTGTTGGCATTTTTTCTTGGCAGCAGCTACCGAAAATTTTTAGCCATTGTTGTTGGGAAATGTCCGTTCTGGCACCGAGTTGGCCCAAGACCATTGTGTTTGCCGCTGCTATGGAATGGGGCTCGTGCGTTAGGCCGAGCAAAATGGCAAAATGGCAGCAGCAGCAGCAGCAGCCAACAGCCAACAACCAACAGCCAACAGCCAGCAGGCATCAGCTAGCTGCTAGCAGTGAGCAGCCAGCATTTCAGTTCTTTTTACTGTTGTCAAGTCGACAACACAAATACACAAATACATATAATCATATATTGATATCAAAGTGTATGTGTGAATGCGCACAAAGGCGCCGCCATTAAAGAGTCACAAGCGAATGAGAGAAATCCCATGGACTGGACCATGAACCATCCATCTATGGAACATTTGTCACATCTCTTGTCCAGTCGAGTTCAATTTGTAATTCTTAGCTTTATATCTTTGCATTTAATAAAATTCAATAAAAGTATATTTATTAAATAAATCTCTTCTCATCTTTCAACTGAGGCTGAGTGATAAGGCATAAAACGAATTGTCTGTTTTATGGGCCTTGATCTCGAGTCTGTCGTGACTGAATGAAACAGTTTAATGCAGTCATTTCCATTTAATGTCAACGACTTTTTCTAATGCTTTATTTGTCATTTTTATATTAAGACAAACATCACGCACTCGTAACGTTCATATGATATGAATTGCGTGTTCAGAGTTGATAATTCAGCTCGGCCATAAATGATGTAAGTCCTAATCCTTAATCATTAAAAGATAAATTATTATTCAGACACTCCAAGCAATTGGTTAACAAGAATATTAATTATCATAGTGTCATAGTTAATAAGATTCACTAACGGTTAGCTAGAGTATTGAGAGAACTGATAAAAAATTCCTAAATTCCACAGTTCCATTATGTGTCTGGGTTTGCTTTGTGTGCTTTCAACAACATAACTGCTGCATTTATGAGATAAGTTTTTTTTTCTTCTATTTTTTCTGCTCGTGGTCGCCAACTATCGAAACACATTTTAGACTTTACGACACTTGACACAGTGGTTAAACTTTTGTATCCGCTCGTTGACAAAAAATGTCCGAATTCGTATTGATATATTTGAGTATTTGTTGGGCGATGCGAAAGCAGCTGGAGGGGAGCTATGCAGGGCAGAATGAAAGGGTAGATGGATTGGAAAATAAATTAAGCAATAGTTATTGTTTTTGATAATTCATCGAAAGCTGTTTAAATAATACTCCAATTTTTATATCTATCAAATACAAATGTCCAAATACCTATTAAAAATTGAGGCTTAAACAACATTATCTTTGCGATTATTTAAGCTTTTGGTTTATAGCACTCAATTTAAGTTAATTCTTGCTATAATTGTTTAGTTGTTAATTTTCTAAGAATTGCTAGATAGCATTGTACTGATAAACAAAAAAAAAAGTGAATGGTTTATCAACATTTAACGTTAACTGTATGAGACACTCTCTTATCAATTTTTATTGTTTATAATAAACAATTATACAGGAAATATATATATCATTTTGTAATGCACTTTGTTATGGTGAAATTGTGATGCATAAACCTACATCTTTTATCTGCTAATTGGGCCAATAATGCCATTTTATATCCGCATTTCCTTATTACAGTGAGACATTCTAAACTTTAAGGGCAAGAGAAATAGATTTTTTTAGTTGCAATAAAATCAAGATAAGGTTATTTATATAGATAATCTTTGTTTGTTATCGATATATTGTTTTATTTTTATTTTTATTTTTTTTTAATTTATTGTACTACTTTTACGTGTGCCCAAGATTTTGACAAGTTTCTTCTTTGGTCTATAGAAAAAGTGTGGTAAAACTGAAGAGCTATACTAATTAAACAGCTCAAATGACTATCAATGATGATTGTATATCCTCCTGTGAGGGGAATGCTTTTGATAAACAGTGACATGAGCACATTGTTAGTGCATTTATATAAAGGCATTAACATGGTCGCAGTAAATTCATTCGCTAACTAATTTCTGTTGTCTTTTGTTTTCTTTTAATATAAACATACAACTGTTGTTGAATGAGCTTATGCAATAGCTCTGTAATTAGCCACAGAGTTTTTTGTGTGTGTTGGGTTTTTTTTTGTGTTTTTGCATTGTTATGTGCCCAAAGCTGGATTATGTAACCGACAAACGACTACAAAAACTGAACAATAACCAGAAATGCCAAAACCGATATTAACTATTTAGATAAGTCGCTCTCTCTCTCTCTCACTCTCTCTTCCCTAGGGAGAGGATGTTGTCGGCCAGAAATGGAGTAGAGCAGATGAAACTGTTTTATGTAGAAAATTGTAATTTTATCAAAATTACAACTATCGAGGAGACTTGCCGATGGTTAGCTTATGCAATTAACTTTGATTGTTGTGATGTTGCAACATGTTGCATTTAGCTGACTGACTGACGGACGGACTGATTGGGTGAGTGAGTGACTACAGCGGCGACTTGTTGTCAGTGTGAAACCGCAAATTATTGATCAGTTAATAGCGTTGAGCCTAGGCAGGTGGGGTGCTCAATTCGCATGAGAAGAAGAAGCATTTGAACCAAAGACAGCGTCAGCGCCTTCTGCCCTCTCTGGCAATTTGGTCAACTAAAACGAGCACAATGACAGACAAACAAAGCCGTGGCACATCAATGCAACAACAATTGCAGTTGTGCTGTTGCAGTTGCTGTTGTGCCATGTTGGCAATTTCCAGAGACTTCGCTTGTCGTCGAAGCTGATGTACTCAAGTGCAGCGTAAAGAAAGCTGAGAAATGTGCGCCATCATCATCATCATCATCATCATCATCATCATCATTGCCGTCGATTGTGTGGCACTCTGCTCTCAGTGTGCGCTCTCTCGTTCGCTCTTCACGCTGCCTCCATCTCTGTCTCTGACTGTGCTTCTTCTTTTCTTAGTACTTATTTATGTCTTGGTCGCGTCGGCTCTCACTCAACTTGGCCAACATGTCTATTAACGGTAACTAGGTAAATGTTAGAAATTTGCCGTTAGGAAATTGCCTCTGGCTGTTGTTGCAGTCGCTGCGGTTGATGCTTCACTTTGGTTCCAAGCGTTTGCGGTCGCAACAGCTCAAAAATGAGATTCTAGCAGGTACCTAAGAAAAATATATATGTATATATGTATATATATATAAATAATAATAATAATTGCAGATTGAATACAAATAAAAATACCAGCAGGTTGGCTGAATATATCATTTCATATACATCATGCGGCTGAGCGTTAAATGACCTAATTATTATTCTTGAACAATAGAAGCTTTCTATTTTGTTCATTAATTTTTGCTTTTTATTTTGTGGTAATTTATCCATTAAAATGCTTGACCTTTTTTGAAGACTTGAGATGGAAATGATTCTCGGAATTTTGATTAATAACGTTTTGATGTCTGATAACTTTTACTTTAGCATTAAATATGCATAAAATGTAAAGAGGAATTCACAACAATCTGCTACATAAATTCGATTTTAATATTAAAATTTTCATCTCTTAAGAGGTCCCAATGATAGTTAGTAAAATGATTAATATTGAATAGAAAATACACCAATTTGTAGGTAATACATTTCCATAATTTTACCCCCGATTGAGAGAGAGAGGGTACACCTAAGCAA